TTGACGTAGCAACCCACCACGAAATTTATTTTTTTTTTTTGTATTAAAGTGTATCTTTATTAGCTTTAAATTTATAATCTATACAGTAATTACAGGCAAGGCCAAGGTGCCAGCTTGAACACTTGCCAAAAGAAAGAGAAGAAAAGAGTTACTATGGTCTTGACGGACCATGTTGATAGCAGCAGAAGCTATCCAAGGCTCCTCGTCTATGACGCATCGCCAATGATACTTCCAAAGTGTACTGTAAGCAGCACCAAGAGCAATCAGAACATCCTCATCGATCACCAACAAATCCGAACCACTACAAAAGGTAGTCAGCGCCAACCAAATAGAAGAAGCAGAGGGGAGTAGCTCTTGAAGTGACAACAAGAGACTACATCCTGCCAGAAAAATGACTTGACATGGCAACCCACCACGAAATGGTAAAGGTCCTCTGTAGCAAAACCACAAAGAGCACAAGCAGGAGACAGAACTTTTGTAGGCATAATCTTATGACACCACGAGCGGTGCGGGACACGGTCATGTAGCAATCGCCACCAAGGTGTGAAAGCCTTTGCAGGCATTTCCAGGGACCAGAAAAGACGCCACAAAGCAGGAGACAGCAACAAATGGGCAGGCAACTTCAAGGAGGACCCATACGAGAGGTAATGGTACCCTTTGCAGGGTGCCAATACCTTCGCAAAGCACCAAGAGAGAGACGAGCAACCGGAGCAGCAGAACGAGACGAGTTGGAGACAGTCCAATGTGTACAATCTGGCATCCAAGAGGTAGCACCATCAGAACGGGGGCATAGCAAAATAGTCCTGCTTTGAGACAAGACTATCTTACTATCCATGACAGGCGGGAATACCAGAGAGACAGGACCACGATCACGGTTCAAGGCAAGAAAAACAGGGCCGCAAAACACGAGATGACCAAGCAAGATGAGAGGTGACACCATCAACTATACCTAGATCAGGTTGCCAGAAAGAGACATCCGACACCAAGAAACGAGGATCAAGAGATGATGGATCACGAGGAGGACGAACAGAAGGCACCAGTACTGAGTACAGAACACAAGGGAAGATCAAAGAAACCACCTAGCAGACCAACCAGAGGAAGGAACTAGCTTTGGCAATCTCAACAGAAGCTTTCCAAGATGTGTTAGAGCAGGCACAGAAGACACACGAGACTGGTAAAGACCAGGAAAACAAAACCACGGCAAGATGGACTTATGACCAGTGTAAACTTGAAAAGCATACACCAACCAAGAGGAGACAAATCACTGGGAGAGGGTGGACGCAACAAACGTTGCAAATAGACAAGATGCAAAGCTAAGCTTTGATCTGCTATATCCACGAGACCAACACCACCAAACTTGCGGGGGAGACACAAAAGTAGACCAAGCAACACCAGGGCGAAAGGACACCAGATACTCACGGACCACCGTAGTGAGAGACTTCAACCACGACGCAGTAGTAGCACCACCAGGAACAACACGCAACAAATGATATACCTTTGACAACAGTAACGAGTTAGCCACTAGTCCTGCTCCCCTAATGGAGAGATTCCTTTGTTTCAACAAGTTACTGTGTCGCTGGACCTTCACCAAGACACCATCAAGATAGTCTTGAAGTTGACTTTCAGTATGATACAAGGGATAACCCAAGTAACGTACTGCACCACGAGAGTGAGCGTCATGCCACTGGAGACCAGTAGAATCAGCCAAAGCAACCCAAGCAGAGTGTGACACACAGACAACGACACCAACACTGTCTTGCTGATATTGACTTTCGCATTAGATGCTCGGCCATACAGATCAAGAACAGACAACAACACAGACCACTCTTCTGGCGAAGACAAAAACACCTCAAGATCATCCGCATAGCTTAGAATCTTGACAGGAGGAGGAGCAACAGAGCCACTGACAAAGTCCAAAGTCCAATTCCGGGAACCAGTACCATGATCCACACGAACTTCAACCGGTGAAGGCTTCCATTTACGTGGGATATTAACAGGAGACAGAGTAACACCAGAAAGACCAGGACAAGCAAGGAGAGAACGAAGCAAAGGCTCAAATGCCAGATTGAATAGCAATGGAGACAGAGGATCACCTTGACGAAGACCTCGCAATTGAGGTACAGGAGGCACCAAGCCAACCATTGATAGACACTGAAATCTTGGTTCCAAAGAACAAAGAAGACAGACAAGACACCAACTCACCAGGAAAACCAAACCGGAGCAACACACGACAAAGATATTCAGGATGAACCCGATCATACGCCTTCTCTTGATCCAACAAAACAGCCACTTGAGGTAAATCAGGAGCAACAACACGCAAGTGAGACATCAACAACTGATTTAACCAGCCATTGTCAGAGATCAGACGATGAGGGAGAAAACCAGTTTGATAAGGGTTGATTAACTTTGGCAACACTTTGTTCATACGATTAGCAATGAGCTTTGTAAATAACTTGGCATCACTGTTAATTAAGGACAAAGGTCTCCAGTTAACCAACAACTGAGGGTCACCCTTCTTGAACAATAAGACCATACGAGTTTGTTGCCACGAAGGAGGAAACACACCAGAAAAAGCTGCACCCAACACATCCACAAGCAAGTCAAGAAAATCAGTAGAAACACCAGCAAGATATTGATACAATTCAAAAGGCAAACCGTCAAGACCAGGACTTTTAGACTTGAGAGCATGAGTGAGCAGAGACAACAAAACATCGCGAGTTGGAAGTTCCATTAGCATATCACCATCCAAAGATGATAGACGTACATCAGTTGGAACATTCCCCAGGAGAGTATCGATAGCTTCAGCATCGACAGCATCAGGGGTATATAGCCTTTTGATAAAAACCTTGTGCCTCCCTGTTGATAGCTGCTGCTTCCACCAAGATATCCCCAGTAGTAGAGCACTTTAAGGATTGAATTGTCTGTTTGAGACTCTCGCACCTTGATCGAACGATAGAAATACTTGTTGCTACGTTCTCCCTGTTCTAACCAACGAGTGGCAGAGCGAAGCATATTCTGACTAGTCTCTTTCTGTATCTGATCCTCAATCAAAACTTCTAGTTGCCTGACCTGCTGTTCAGCATCACCTGAAGCAGTAGACACTCTATCAGTTTGACCAATAGCATTCCTAGTCTCAACACCCGATACAGACGTCGACAAAGCCCTAATACGTTCCAGTTGAAGCGTAAAAACTTTGTTCTTGAATCGTGCTTTCATGCTTCTAGTGTACTTTTGTGCACAGCACTTTAGTAACAACTTGAAGGATTCCCATCTAGCCACCGTGCTTTCAGAGTCACCACTACTACCTTGACTAGTATTGACACCCTTAGACCCACCACCAACAGCACCAGAGAAGAACAATGACACCGTGGCATTCAACAACGCAACAAATTCCTTATCATCAAGCAGAGTTGGATTGAACCGCCAACTACCAGGACCAATACTAGCTGTCGCAGGTAACATTTCAACAGTCAAAAGAGAGTGATCCGTCCACCTACTAGGCATATATAGTAACTGACTATTAGTCAAACGAGGAGCAAGAGAAGAGTGACCAAAGATGTAATCAATACAAGTATTGCTCTTTGGAAACGTGGCTAAACCATCCGGATGACAATTGACAAAGTGAGTACGCAACCAGTGAACAAAAGGAGCGACATCGGCTTGACGAGAAGTAGACAAAGAGTGCAAGTGAATGTTGAAATCACCCATAACCATCCAAGGTGTGTTGAACACATCAGACCAAACAGAAAGAGAGAGAAAATCAGAGATAAATGAAGGACGGTCAGAAGACTGCGCTGGACCATAGACGTTGGCCACTTTGCACAAAACATTGCTTGAGGCATCTACGACAGATGCAACAAGACAACGTTCATCCAACAATACCTCCGTATCCACCAAAGAATAACGAGAATTGAGACATATAATAGCACAGTGCTTGGACACAACGAGAGAACAATTAGGAAAAGCAAAAGAAAAGGAACGGACTTGAGATTCAGTGAGAGTAGATTGAGAGCGGAAATGAGATACCTCTTGCAAGCAAAGGATATCCAGATGGAGAGAGGAGGAGCGAAGATAAGATGAAAACTCTTTGAGATTTGTAGGATTAGACTGCATGAACAAGCTACGCGTGTTCAAGGAGCCAATCTTGATGCCTAATTTTGTACTCATTGAGCCCTACGGGCGTCTTGCTTAGTCTTGAGAGGCGCACGGCCATTAGTCTTGCTATTCTTGACAACACCAGAAACACCACCAGAAACACCACCAGAAACACCACCGAAAGCAACACCAGAAGCAACACCAGACTTGTTACCCTTAGCACCAGTACCAGAAGAGACACCACCAGAGTTACCCAGCTTGTTATCGCCTTTTACACCAGCACCAGTAGTACCTTTCAGGTTTGCATTGAACTCCATTCTTTTGCGCTGAGCAAGATCCTTCAACTTGGTCAAATTCAACATCTCCTCAGGCGAGTCAATGTTCATATTCACAGCCACCTCAGCAGACGCATACTTGGAGTAGGCAGAACCACGCACGGTATCCAGCTTCTTGGGAGCTCCAGCAAGCACAATCTTGTCGTCCTCCATGTCCTCATCCTCATTCATACTTACCTGGTGGTTATCTTCACTCAGAAGATCCAAATCCTCGTTACCAGTGGACTCATCATTTTCAGATTCGTCAACACTTTCACCCTGAAGAGATTCATCCTCGACTACACGATAATCGAGTTCTTCTTCTTCTACCTTCTCCACCTCCTTACCTACGCCTAATTTTTCCTTCTCAATATATTCCATCAATTCCACAGTGTTCTTACGAGCCAGAGTGACATCCTCAGAATCCTCAGAATGATGGTGAACTTTGTGCTTCTTGGTGAAATTTGCAGACTGAACCTCCTTTTCAGGGCAAAAACGCAACATGTGCCCTTGCTTATTGCACCTAAAGCAACGACGTCTAGCCAATTCAGGACATTTGGCGCGAACATGACCGCTGTGTTGACAGAAATGACAAACAGGTGGAGCACCTTGATAAGTCGCTGGCACAAAACAATCAAATTCGCTCAGATAGAGCATTCTATCTAGGGGCTTGGCCTCCTGCCACTCATCCCCTACCTGAAATCCAACAGAAGTATCCAAAATCACCGAAAGTTTACCCTCAAAGTAACCACGGTGAGTAAACTTCTTCACTTGCAGTACCTTACCAAAGTACGACAAGGACTCCATAAGATCCGACAAAAAAGTGGTCTTGTCCACCATACGCATAAGTGTAAACCGCACATGCTTGACATCCCCAAATTCAGCACTTTCCTTGGAGGTAGACGCTTTGTACACTACACCTTGTACTGTCACCCCTTCACGCATAGCCACTTGTGCATGCTCCACCTGAGCAAACCTGGCTTCAATCAGCAGAGAACCATCAGCACGAGAATCATACAAACTAAGAGGTCGAAATTCCACGTCAGGTGAGATTTGGTCTTGAATCATTTTGTAAGCGGCAACACGATCAGGAAACAAAGTTTTCTGAAACGTGAACAGAACAGAACCAGAAGAAAGGGATTGCTGAATAATCGCCATAGCCTTGCTTGCCAAAATTTGACCCTTCAGGTCATCATCTTCATAGAGAACAGTACCCACCAATGGTACATCAGTTGGATTGTCCAATCGTCGCTTGTTGGGCTGGAGAAATCGACCCACCTTTTGACGTGAAGCTCTTTGAGCCCAAGTCAATTCAGATTGGGAAGACATGGAGTGTAACAGACCGTAGAGTGTAACTTGTAATCTAGAGTGTAACTAAGTCGCGTTGTTGAAAAAGTAGTGAAAAAGACGAATTCGACGAAAAATGGTTGAATCGATCTGAAATCAAGATATGTTGTAGAGCTGAAATGGATGTATCTAAATATACTTGGATGCAAGATGGATGTATCCTAGTTGTCGAGATATCGTTGTTCAAAGATGGCGTAATCGAAAACTTATAAAAAGTGATGAATACGCGAAAGAGCTGTAAAAAAAATAGTGAAAATGTTGAATTCGTCGAAAAAATTGCTGAATCGATCTGAAATCAAGATATGTTGTAGAGCTAAAATGGATGTATCTAAATATACTTGGATGCAAGATGGATGTATCCTAGTTGTTGAGATATCGTCGTTCAAAGTTGGCAAAAACAAAAACTTTTTGAAAAGTGATGTATAAGCGAAAGAGCCTACTGTAGACCCACCACGAAATGGTACAGGTTCTCTGTAGAGAAACCACAAAGAGCACAAGCAGGAGACAGAACTTTTGTAGGCATAATCTTATGGCACCACGAACGGTGCGGAACACGGTCATGTAGCAATCGCCACGCTTATTGCACCTAAAGCAACGACGTCTAGGCAATTCAGGACAGAAAGAGCCTTGCCTAGTATAAGCCCGCCCTGGCAAAAACAAAAACTTTTTCCTGCGAAAGAGCCGCAAAAAAAAACCAAAGACTGTACAACCTATTCGTTACACCAAAATATAATCGCACAAAAACACCTATACCATTTTGTTTACAAATATAAAATTATAATTTATAAAATTAAATTAACTATATTATATATAAAAAATTAATCAAACGTTAGAAATATTATTAAAATATACTTTATGCAATAAATTTTATATAAAACTATGTAAATATATTCAATGTATTATATAATTTATATTACATTTCTTAAATAAATTTATAATTAAGATTTTTTTATTAATTAATAATTACAATAAAAAGTTTAAAAATTATACTGTTTAAATACACTTTATTTTTTGTAAAATATAATATTTTTAAATAATTATTAGTATATTTAAATCAAAGAAATTATTTAAGTATAAAATAAAAAAATTTTTAATAATAATATTTATATTTATTTTGTTTAGCAATAACGTAATATCTAAATTTTTCTCATAGATGGCATGCTAACGAATAGGTTCTCTTGGTCTACAGTAAAGTTTGAAACATTTTCGCTTATATATCACTTTTCAAGATAAGTTACACGGGGGCTCTTTCAAGGCTCTTTCGCTTATACATCACTTTTCAAAAAGTTTTTGTTTTTGCCAACTTTGAACGACGATATCTCAACAACTAGGATACATCCATCTTGCATCCAAGTATATTTAGATACATCCATTTCAGCTCTACAACATATCTTGATTTCAGATCGATTCAGCAATTTTTCGACGAATTCAACATTTTCACTATTTTTTTTTACAAAGGTCAACAAAAGTTACACTCCAGTTACAAGTTACACTCTATGTCAGTCAATTCTGAAATGACTTGGGCTGAACGTGCATCTCGTGGTTCTACTATGAGGTTCTATCAGCCATCCAAGAGGCGTTCGGTGGAGGCCGCCGCTTCTTCTTACCCTTTGGTGGGTTCTGTGATGTTTGAGGATGATGATTTGAAGAGTCAAATCTTAGCTAGTAAGGCAATGGCGATTGTGCAGCAGGCACTTACTTCTGGTTCAGTTCTCTTTTCTTTCCGTAAGGGTTTGTTTGGTGATCGTGTGGATGCGTACAAGGTAATTCAAACCCAGGTGTCTTCTCTGGTGGAATTTCGTCCTTTAAGTGTCTACGATGAAAAGAACGATGGTTCTTTGCTTATTGAAGCCAAGTTCGAGGAGGTGGATGATGCGAACAAGGCTATGACAACTGGTGTTAACGTGAATGGCATGGTGTACAAGGCTGTTCACGCCAAGGAATGCAAGGAGTTTGGTGATTTGAAGTTTGTCCAGTTTACTTTGATGCGCATCGTCAAAGAACCCACTTTTTTGCATGATTTGATCAAGTCTTTGTCGTTTTATGGTCGTGTCCTGCAGGTGAAGAAGTTCACTCGTGGTGGTTTCTTTGAGGGCAAGTTTTCGGTGATGGTGGATACCTCGGTGGGATATCAGGTAGAGGGTGGTGAGTGGCAGGAGGCTCAACCTCTAGATAGAATGCTCTATCTCAGCGAGTTTGATTTCTTTGTCGCAGCGACATATAAGGGTGCTCCTCCTGTTTGTCATTTCTGTCGTCATAGTGGTCATGTCCGCGCTAAATGTCCTGAGTTGCTCCAGCGTAGATGTTATGGATGTGGAAAGCATGGTCACATGTTGCGTTTTTGTCCTAATAAGGAGGATCAATCTGGTGCCAAGAAGCAAAAGGTGGATCATCAACTGAAGGATTCGGAGGAGGTCACTGAGGCACGTCGACAGACGGTGCATTTGATGGATTTCGTTGCTAAGGCAAAGCTAGGAGCAGGTAGGGAAGTGGAAGAGAAAGTCGAAGAAGAAGAACTCGAGTCTGTAGTAGACGAAGAGGAAGAATCTCTTCAGGGTGTTGTTGATGGTGTTGACGCGTCTGAAAATGACAAGTCCACTAAAAGTGATAATTTGGAGGTGCAAATGGAGGATCTTCAAGGTGAAGATCATCAGGATAAGTTACACGGAGATGATGCTATGGAAGAAGATGATGAGATCGTGCTTGCTGGTAGTGGTGTCAAGAAGCTTCCTGATGTGCGTGGCTCTGCATTCTCGAAATACGCTTCTAATGAGGTGGCTCTTACTATGAATGTTGACTCTCCAGAGGAGATGATGGGTTTGTCTAAGCTCAAGGAGGCCTCTCAGAGGAAGCGAATGGAATTGAATGCCAATTTGAAGGCTGTGAATGGTGCTGGTGTTGCTTCTGGTACTGGTGTTGGTGTTCTTGGTAACAAGTCTGCTGGTGCTGTTGGTGTCAAGAATAGCAAGAACAATGGCAAATTGCCTCTCAAGACTAAGCAAGACGCCCGTAGGGCTCAATGAGTACAAAATTAGGCATCAAGATTGGCTCCTTGAACACGCGTAGCTTGTTCATGCAGTCTAATCCTACAAATTTCAAAGAGTTTTCATCTTATCTTCGCTCCTCCTCTCTCCATCTGGATATCCTTTGCTTGCAAGAGGTATCTCATTTCCGCTCTCAATCTACTCTCACTGAATCTCAAGTCCGTTCCTTTTCTTTTGCTTTTCCTAATTGTTCTCTCGTTGTGTCCAAGCACTGTGCTATTATATGTCTCAATTCTCGCTATTCTTTGGTGGATACGGAGGTATTGTTGGATGAACGTTGTCTTGTTGCATCTGTCGTAGATGCCTCAAGCAA